CCCCCCCCCCCGGGTCATGACACTGTTTACGTAGTGCTTTTTGCTACATTAACAGTTGTTGAGTGGCAAAGGTGAATGGACAGACTCCAGTGCCTTACTAACAGGGACATGCAGCTAAGAAAAGGAAACCCTACCAGAAAATCCACCTAGCATTAAAAGAGTTACAAAAACAGAGAAGAATTGCCAATCAAATATGAAAGAAGGAGTTGGCCTCACGGACTTCTGATGTCAGGTAGGGAAAGCGATCAGAAAACAACCAGAAGGATTCCAGTCAAGATGGATTCAATCAGGTCAGCTCCATCTCACCCTTGGACAACTTGTGTATTATTCCAGACATATATTTGATACGATACCACACACAAAATGAGTAGAATTCACGCCGACAGAGAGAGAGCTCTCATTAGCTGGGAACCAATCAGCTCTAGGTTTCTCATGAAGGAAGGAATAATGCTTCTGTCTAGCAGTCATTAAGTCATGATCAGTCAGTCCATCCATCTGTCTGTCTGTCTGTCTGTCTGTCCAACTGTCCATCCGTCAGTCTAAGTAAGAAGTTACTTGCTACTGTTACAGACGAGGTCTTAAACTGCTTGGATGGCAGGTACATATTTATAACAACGCTGACAAATCAAAACTCACTCTTTTGATTAGAATTACTCTCCCAACACTTACTGGTAAAATAAAACTTCTAAGTGGAGGAAGTTGATTATGATACGTATCTATCCAGTCTTCCAGTGTTATTACATTTTCTGGATTGAACTCAGTTTTTCCTGAAAATTAAAGCAAACAAAAATATGTTCCTTAGTTTCAGTTTTAAAAACATCTTTTCATTCTTATCTTTACGAAATAAATTGTTCATTTAAATGCCAATGTTATACTTCTTAATATACAAATAAATAGGACAAACGAAATAATAAAGAGTTTGCTTTTATATTTAAAAATGACACAGAGACCTCAGCAGCGAACAAATTCAATCGAAGTCAGTCTTATCAATCAGAACAAAATAACCCGACAGGGCCTTTATCAAATCAGTAATCTTCACTTGTTCCCTTCACCCTTAGCTTGTACAGAAGGGAAGTTCAAGAAGCAAATTCTTGTCATAAATGCGAGCCCCAAGCACAAAATTTGCGAATGACAACAGGCCGCCTCCTACCTGTATACAGTATATAGTGTCCAAAGCAACTTCAGTGTGCATATGCAACATTTACACCTTGAACCTTTAGTACAATATCACAAGCAGACCCATAACCATCTCCCTGATAGGCTAGTTTCTTTTTGAAACAATGGTAAGCCTAAAATTGGGAAGAAAAAGCCATTCTCACTTATATTTCGATCAGTTGATGACTGCCGAGGTGTTGCAATATTTGAGCCAACATCTTGAAGGATGCACTGGACCTGCAGAATTACATTGAAAAATTTATCAAACACATGTGTACACGTTTGCTCTTGCTCACCACAGTTGTCTCTTACAAACCAAATCTTTGTTATTGCTGACATTTTGGGAGGCATAATTATTTCAAGCATAATCAAAACATTCAACAAATTATGCTTTATTGTGGATCAGTGATAGAAAATCAGAAATAGTAGAATCATCCCTTTTTCAATTCATACTAAAATTTCTTGCTCAGTTATATCTCTAGTTCAAAATAGCAGGGGGTCAAGGAGAGGGGGGGGGGGTCATTGTTAAATATGTAAATACATGTTCACAATATATTTAGCCTATTAATATAAGCACAAAGCTAACTGCAGTAAAAGATTAAAATGCAACAAAAAGACATCCATCTATCCATCTAACTATGTGCTGCTAGATAATGATCTACCACTCTGGATTAATGAAAGTAACAAATCTATATAAATGAAAGGAATGTAATTACCTCTTCAAGTTTCTGCATAACATCTTTATGTCCTCCTTCTTCACAGAATTCCCTGGCTACTCTGCAGGATAAAGACATCAAACAAATGCAACTTATAAAAATGAAACAAAACTGAAACACACCTCTAATGATTAAATTATAATGAATATGTAACTGCTGTACATTAAAATCAGTTTTTACAAGCTTGATTTGTATTTTCCTTTGTTCTAGATTTAATCCCACGGAACCTTTGTAGGTGTTCTTAACTGAAAAAAAAAAAAACCATGCAATGCAAAGCTTACATTAAGTGGCTATGAGCCACTCAACTTTTAAAATGGATCATCTGTAAACAGTGGCATTTTTGATGCCATTCAGCTGAGTTTTTAAATCTGTTGGTCATATATCATTTAATATATATGAAGCTAGACAGGTGAATAATGACGTTAAAGAACACTGGCATATTAATTTGTTACAAAGGAGTGCAAAATACAATGATAAGAGAATACATAAAGAGATGTGACCCTGTTAAAAACATTCATGAAGTCATCCTTTTCCAAGACATCACATGAAGAAAATACCACTTTTTATCAGATCACTAAAGCAACAATGTAACTTAAGTTAGTACTGGACACATAAACAAGTGATAAAATCCCTGTATTGCTGGTTCTCATTTCCCCCCTAATTTTTTTGGTTTAAATGTACATGACATTTGAATAACAATACTTTATAGATCCCAAGCCTTCTTTTCATGTGAAAAACCTGCATCTGAAAACATAAAAACGAGGCTATTCAAATAATTATGCAAATTGGCTATATTTGATGCTCTCGATGTTCGTGTAAATTGTCATAGTATGGAGGACACATGTGTTAATAGAAAAACGAACCATTTTTCTCACGGTATTTAGGTAATTTCGTAGTTAACATCGCATTTGTACATTATAGGCTCTGACAAGAAACATAACAACGCAAGATGACAGATTTAAAAAACACTTTCACCGGATAGAATTGGATCCAGTCTACGACTGAAGATTGAAGTATGAAGTCTGAAGTCTGAAGTCTGAAGTCTGAAGTCCCTCCTTGGCTTTCATAATTTTGGTTGTATGTGTGCTAGATTTATATGTTAAACAACTAGCGTAGCTTCTACAGAGAGGCATTTGAGCAAAAATCTTCTCAATGTTGATTATTTCTGTGGTGAGATATCGAGTTGACTTACATCAGAAATGCACAGAACAAATGAGAAACATTGCTAATAAATTTTAAAGTAATCACTTGGTAAGGAAATTGTTTCACCTTCAGGTCGAACATAGCTTGAACTTCACTGCCACTGTGAAAGCCTTATTCATTGGTCAGTGGATTCACAAAAACATCTAACAGGAAGTGAAGGAGTGGATGAAGGATCGAGTAAATGTCCCATCCATGTCTACAACATGGAAATACTATTTTAAAGTAACAAATAAAAATAAACTACAGACAGAATTTGGTTGCACAAACAAATTACTGTATTATATCAATTTCACAACGGTTATTCTACAAAACAGGGTGAGGATTTTAGCAGCATATACAATTGATTTTCTCTGTCAAATTTGGTTATCAAAAACTGACTGAGATCTTTTTCGAAACCCAGAAAAACAGTGTTTTTGTCAAGATGTCTTGGAAATCTTCAGACCAAATTTCCTGGCAATCTGTCGAATGTGCATACCTGATAAATTCATTTAAAGAGGAGACAATTTTTTTACTTCTAGAGGTTTATGAACAGCAGCAGTGTGGATACTGCAGTCATCCATTGGGCATTATCAAGGAATTTCTGCTATTGAGTAAGAGTAAAGTCTCTATCAGCAGGAGAGCATTTCTCAGGGCTAGTTGTGTGCACATGTGTTGTTAAGTCCTGGGTAAAAAATGATAAATTAAAACAGTTTCGTTGAATATTGTGTTGGGTGAACATTTCAAACATTTGATTGTTTTGCTCAGGCTTAAGAGAATGTGTACAATTATTATGATTAACTGCCTGAGAGTAAAATCCACTAGCCCAGCTGGGCTATCACACATGACTTTCTTTGGAATGGTCACTGTATCAAGTTGTTATTAGAACACTCCAGAAGTAAAAGAAATACTCCTCTGTTGTTCTGAAACATTCTTGACAATGTGTACTCATACAACTCAACAATACACTTGGGTGTGTTAACTCCTTCCTAATATGTAGTTAATGAAGCCATTTTTACTTATTACCCAATGACAGAAGACAGTTCATCAGAAGTTCCTAGTGCCTCAAACAGTGCATCAGTTTTGGAACGGCGTTCTCCACCATATGTACTTGTATATCCTGTTAAAATTTTACACATTCACATTTGAGTTGCTTACATTACAAATGAAGGCTTTCGTGCAAAAAGGGCGTATATAGCTTTTTGGGCCGATTTTTATTTTTTGCAGGATTGAGCTAATTTTTGGTAGACTGACTTGTTTTGACATGAAAAGCATCACTGCATAATTGTTTTTGTTGATTTGCACTTCGTTTTCAAGAAATAATGTATGCAAAAAAACTCAGTTATCTTTTGGAGATCTTTTGTTGAACGAAAAACAAAAGAAACCTTTTGTTTTGATAAACGATGAAGTCACCGAAGCGTGGCATTTGCCGCTAGATTATTCATATGATTACGCTATTCTCTTACTGTTGCTTTGTTAGCGCAAGCGAATAAGGTGCTAAATGGGCTGGAGTCGAGTTTGTTTTGTCGTGACAGCAGTTCGATACGGTTGGTCGATTTTTTTTTTCCGGTCTATTTCTCTACTTCTTTCAAAAATAAAAACATGTATTTTACAAAAACCATGCTGTCAAAGCTACTGAAAGTAACCTTTTAAGTTTGTGTCGCGTCGAAATCCACCTTCGAAGGATTCACTCCAAAAGATGCCGCTTGGAAAACTGAGTTTTTTTGGTTTAAGTTTATGGCATCCATAAACTGATGTTAATGAGACCTGAGAGACAATATCTTAAAGACAGGCACACACATTCTGCATTGTAACACTTTATTTCAGAGCAATGTAACACTACGAACCTCCTGTCACGCTCATAGGTAAATCCCAGTAACATGAGTAACATGTCACCAATTCCTGATCTCAAAGTCCATCAGGGATTCCCAGTTGAAAACAATCACCCCCTTTAGATATCACAACAAACCTTTCATTTCCTAAGTAAGGCCACTGTTATCTGCATCTGTAAAAGACGGTGTATCAATGGTTCCAGTCATGTCTTACACGTGTCCACCTCATGCCCCTGACCTCTAGTCAAGCACAAGCTCCTCGTTGTATTCAGTCTTCTCGTTTGTGCCGATCCTTTGCCACTAATTTTTCTTTTTCCCTCCAATCACCCCCCCCCCATGACTGGAACCCTTGCTCCACACATTTTAACCCCTGATACTACGTTTTAGGACTATCTTTTAAGTGAATAAACAAAATCATTTAGATCTATAGAAATGTTCGCCATAAATATGGCTAATACTTTGTCTTTCCTGAAAAAAAAAAAGGACAAGCTTTGACACTACAATTCAGAACATCGTGGATAGATACTGAACATTACTATTCCGTTACTTTTAGAAAAACATATATCTGTATGTACTTATAGATATCATTTGTTTATAAAAAAAAATTATACCATTAATGGTCATAGGCTACGGCTATCTGTCTCTAAGCAAGCCTTAGACCTTGTCATTCAGAGTGCAATGAACAGAGACTTTGTATTTTGGTGACTTTCTGTTGTTTGTTAATAAAGAACGGTGGCAGGGAAGTCCACCCATTAGCTGCACTTTACCCCACAATAATGCTCTAGCCCACTGGAGACAAGTCCGGAGAAATTACCTATTCCAAGGTGGCTACCCCCGGTACCACCTGATCTGTACTCCCCCCAGGAGGGGCTCCCCCCCCCTGGTTCCCTCAGTCCCCCAGGACTGTGGGGTATGGGCCNAATTACCTATTCCAAGGTGGCTACCCCCGGTACCACCTGATCTGTACTCCCCCCAGGAGGGGCTCCCCCCCCCTGGTTCCCTCAGTCCCCCAGGACTGTGGGGTATGGGCCTCACCCCTGGAGGCAGGTCTGGAATTTTTCTTCCAGAGTGGCTACCCCCGGTACCAGCCGATCTGTACTCCCCCAGGAGCGCCCCCTTCCTGGGCCCCTACTCCCCAGTCGTCCTTCCCTGCCACCCAAATTTTAACCACAGCCAGTGTGATATTTCCTAAATGTAGTATCGTTAGTGGCAGCTCAGATCAGGCCTCGAAAGAGGATCATTAACATACGTTATTTCTTGAAAACAAAGCGCAAATCAACAAAAACAATTACACAACAATGCTTTTCATGTCAAAACAAGTCAGGCTGCCAAAAATTAGCTCAATCCTGCAAAAAGTAAAAATCGGCCCAAAAAGCTATATACGTCTTTTTGCACAAAAGCCTTCAATTATTGTAACTATTAAATCATTCTACAACTGTATAAATGAAACATTATTAATAGCAATTTAGCAATGACTTCGGAGACCCAATGATGGGACAATAGCTGAGGATCCTGGGGATCTGAACCCTCCTTGTGGGCAATATTCTTAAGGCCTTTTCGTCCCCTGCATTATTTTTAGCAGACATTTATGGCCTGATAGGCCAGCAAATGGCCCAACCTTAATAAGCTGTTCTGATGTGTGCCTCTTTATTCAATAAGCAGCAGTGCAGCAAAATTAATTCTCTTTTCATCAAAATTTGATAATGAGATGGGAACCTATACAGTTACACCTGATCCCAACCTCGGACACACAACGAAAAACAACATACACTTTGTTTAACCCTACAGTATTTTACACCTTTGATCTCATATTACCAAGGAGGGGGATAATCCCCCCTGTGACCTCTAAAATATCTAATCAAATATGATAATTTGATGACATTTGGCATGGTAATTACAAAGTTACAATTTTATCCAAGCAGCAACTATCTTGGATCTGGCATTTCTTAATTTTTCCAAAATGTCAGAAAACCAAAAAAAGGGACTCAGAAATCATCAAAGTCAGTAAAACAATGCTAAAATGTCATCCAATGTAAAACTTTTACTTGACCATTGAGAAAGTTACAGATGGTTGAAGTGAGTGTGCACACTTTTAGTCTCCTTGTTCTTTAAAGGGTAAAGACAAGAACAGTGGAAATTTCACTTTGGTAGTTTCAAGTTAAGTTGTCTCCGAGGCTCTCACAAAGAATAAATGGTCACAAATTTTTGTCCAGTTTATTTAAGTATACTCTCCTTTGAGATCGTCACCTTGTCAAGAAAAGGAAGTTTGCATGTTTCTGTGATGTGGAGAGCTAAGCTGGTGGACAAGAAGCTCCGGGCATGCTGAAAAGGTCAATAGGTAGAAACTGGACAAAGCACAGGTCCTCCTGGTAGGAAGCTGTGCATCAAGGTAACAATTTGATCACAGAGAACAACATATGTTTCAAAACTCCCACAAGTTTAACCACCTCTTTGATTTCTTGTTGGGTTACTGCCTCACCCACAGCAGCACAAGTAAAGAAGGGAAGACAAATTAAAATTGTCTGGAGGGAGAGTGGGGCTGAAGAGATGTAGCCAGCTATCGGCTAATTTCACCAGATGAAAGATAGCTCATCCCCAGCTGAAGTTTTACTGGGGGCCATTTTTAGGTAACACAGGCCAGAAAAGCCTGCAGATCTTGTCAATGATAGTTTTCTCTTAGCTACATTCCTGAAGATCATTATGAGACATTGTGCCAAGAGTAAGTACTAAGGCAAGAGCAGAATTCTACCAGTTAATTAAGGTCAGTGTTTTCGACCCCTGTAATATACAGTAACAGGGCCTAAATCAACCTGCACAAATTTATTACAAAGTCTGTCCAGCTATATGGACCTGAGAACTGGAAAATGAATTAATAAGGGAATAGGATGCCAGAGACATTTCAGAACAAGTGACTGAGAAAGATCTTGGGAGTGAGGTGGACGCAGCTCATCTCAAATGAAAAACAATGGAAGAGGTCTGGAGTCTCTTCAGTCAACACAGAAGTAAAGAAGAGGAGATTGCAAGGGAATGGTCAGAGAATGTAGGCAAGTGATGTTGTTGGGAAAGCATTGATCTGACTTCCAACTATGGATGGGAGAAAAGTTCAAAGAATAGTAACAACTTGGAATAGCTGGGAAGCTTGCCAAGTGGCTGTCCACTAGCCAGGAAAAAGTGTGGAAGAATTGCTGAAGACCTGTGTACCACCTACAGTTGGCAGTGATAGAAAAGATGATGACGAATCACAGTCAAAAACCAGTGTAATAGAGTCTGTCATACATGAAAATAGCATTTGATTTCAGTCAAAAATTATTAACCTGAAATTAAATTAAGTGTACACTGTAGAAAAAACTAGTAAATTTAATTGTTAAGAAGAATCTAATTTAATTTAATTCTTGTGTTGGAAAACTGTTTTGGATCTATTGGTCAGGAGTTCAAATCTTGAAGTTATGGTTATCTTAAGTTCTCACTTCTGAAGAAAATTGACATAAAATGTTTTTTCCAAAATTTGAGTTATTGAACATCACAAATACAGTGTTTTCTGAATTGATACACTCCTGGCCTGTATTTTATTATAGTTTTCTATCAGTAAATGACTATAACATTGTGGAAAGAACTCAGAAACCGATTTTTGCTTGAGATAACATGATTAACTAGATCTGGAATAAAAATACACATTATCTGTGTTACAAGATATATAAATAATAGCCTCCATCTGGCGTGAAAATATGCACGGATATTGGTCATGTGATGGATTTAGACCAATCATGCAAGTGAAAATATTTGATGGATTATAATAAATAGTATCAGAGAACCTACTTAGTCCAGATTCTTTCTTAAAAATTTGGGTATGAGCTCACAGGATGATTTACTTAACAAATTGACGTCACTTTTTAAGGTGCCTGTTCTGCTGTGGATTATGAATTTAGTGATAGCATTGTCAAAGTAGCTGAGGATCTGCAAACTACTTTGACAAGGTTGTGATGAAATTCATTGTCAATAACAGAACCTGTAGACCCATGAAAAACTGACATCAATTTGACTTTTACAATTACAAAAAGGCGTAAATTAATTCAGGTGTCTGCCTACTTAATGACAATGAAAATTACCTAATGAGAGCACAAAAATTTCTGCAGTTATTGTAAAAAGGTGTATTGTAAAAAGTTACTGAATATTATTTTTAATTCACCTTTATCTCCAGTTTTGGTGTAAATCTTTGGTCCCACAGAGCTGTAGCTATAATTTAACAATAAATTAAAAATTTTCAGAGATATACATGTTTTATACTTAAACACACTTACATTTACTTATAATAACTTAGGAAAGCGATTGCACTGTGGTTTGCAGGGCTCGGAAAAAAAAAACCGTCTGCTCATATGGGACAAGTATATTTTCCTCTTACGCAAATAACTTTCTCTCCTCACTTGCCCCACAGGCAAGAACCCAGGCAAGCCATCCACTGACCAAATTTTTGATAACGGTTTTGAAACAGAGTAAGTTGTAAGCACATTGGTGAAATCAAGTGTTTAGACAAAGCTTGACAAAAAAAGTAAATTTACAGGGACTGTACTTTACAGGGAAAACTGCTACCTACATGGCCTGCATAACACTGTAGTGCTTAACTCGTACCTAGGCATTTTTGCGCTGTGCAATTTTTTTTGGTTTACATATAATATTGACAAGGGAGGTAACTCTTTGCCCAAACATTAAGAACACAGTCCGAAAATTCTCTAAATTGTGCGGCTTCTACAAAACCAAACAAACACAAAACGAAGTCGAAAGATTTTTTACAACTTGTCCAAATTTGTTTTCGAATACTTTCAGAACAGTTGGACAATTTTGGTGTCTTTTGCAAAGTTCTTTCTCAAAGTGCTTTTCGCAACACGATCATACCATTACCCTAATCCCAAATGCGTCATCCAGTACACGTTTGAGCTCCCCTCCCTCTCCCACACATGCATTTTTGATATGACAAATCTTTACAAACCCCTCCCCCAGTTCACAGTTTTTCTTGCACAGACGAAGTCACCCAATCTCTGCACGGAAACAAAATGTTTTAGTGAGATTCTGCAACAACAGTTGGGGGCAGGGAAGGATTTTGTAAAGATTTGCCATCTCAAAAAACATGTGTGGGAATGGGAGGGGAGTGCGAGCATGCGCTGGATGACAGGTTTGGGATTAGGGTGAAGGTACGATCATGTTACGAAAAGTGCTTTGAGAAAAAACTTTACACAAGGCCCTAAAATTCTCAAACTGTCATGAAATTATTTGAAAACAAATTCGGCCAAGTTGTAAAAAATCTTTCAACTTTGTTTTGTGTTTGTTCGGTTTCAAGGAAGCTGCACAATTTAGAGACTGGAGAGAATTTTTGGACTGCGTTCCAAAATGTTTGGGCAAAGAGTTGCCTCCCTCGTCAATTTAACAAATTGACGTCAGTTTTTCATGCGTCTGTCCTGTTATTGATCATGAATGTTGTCATAACATTGTCAAAGTAGCTATGGATCCACGAGGCGATAGCCGAGTGGATCCACAGACTACTTTGACAATGTTACGGCAAAATTCATTGTCAATAACAAGACAGATGCATGAAAAACTGATGTCAATTTGCTTTTTACGATAACAATATTAATTGTCAAATCGTCCACTCTCACTCGTTGACGCATTGCATAAATTATAAAATCATGTGTCTGTACGCTTTTTGCCAATGAAAATTAGCCAATGAACGCATGAGAATTTCTGTAGTTATTGTAAGTTAACTTTTTGAAATGCATTTGATAATGAATATTAAAAGAATAAAACTACCACGTTTCGAAGTCATCTTGAGTCCATTATCAAGTAGAGGTGTTAGCTGTAGTTTCGAGATCCTCATTTCGTTTTGATTTGTTCTTGCCTCTTAAGAATTTTCTACCCTAGAACATGATCATTTCAAGGTTTTATTCTATTTAAAGGCAACTCTTTACAACCCTAACTAGTGAGATAATCTCAGATAGTGCAGAGTGTAATGTATAGGTCTGAGGCAGCACTCATAACACAGTTCCTGTATAACCTCTACCGTTCACTCCTGGTTTGTATTGACCTTGTTAGTCAGCTAGGGATTTTGATGAGACATAATCTTAGCAGTGTTTATGTTTGAAGTGTGTATTTTCATTCACAGTCCAAGAATAACTTACAATTAATTACCGCTTGTCAAGACAGCTCTCGAATTTTACTGTAGTGTTTTATGTCGATTTTTGCTCATTTTAAATTACATAATACATTTAAGAAGCGAATGTGACAATTTTACTCTTCATGAAAACGTTTGTAACTTGATACTTCTGTTTTCCTTGCAAAGGTATGTAACCTGAAACTCTTGTTTTCTTGAAGACACACAGAAGATGTGCTTGTATTCTTTTCACAGCTGGAGATAAATGGGAGAAAGTTGAATGTCGGATAAAGAAATGGAAGAGGATGCAAATTTTCTTTTGACTGATAAACAAGAACTAATCTCTAATTATCAACTTGTCATGGACGTTCTGTTGCCACCTTGGGCATTAACAATAAAACCACTTATATTTAAAATACACGTTGATATCCATTAATACCACTGAGAAGCGTTTCAACGAGAGGTATCGAAAGTAAACAACGCTACTTGACAGAGATTATATCCTTCATCAGTGAACGAGTCCCATCAGAGACTGATAAAATTTATGCTTTTAGCAGGTGCCACGGAGTCTGCAGCAGTATTTGAGCAGTTTCCTGGGAGTTTTGTACAATTTGACAAGTTTAAATGCCACTTACTTGGGACAGTTTCGGCTGCGGATATGAACATTTTGATAGAGATAATTAAAGGATGAAATAAATGCGCTAGTGTAGTGTGGAAACAACAGATGATATTTCTCGAACCAAGTTAGGCGTAATTCCACAAGACACGTAGTCACAGTAGCATTCTTGTATCGTGCTAACAATGCTAGAACACATGTGTATGACTTATTAGGGTTCTACCACAAGGAAAAGCGCTCAATGTTAGTGTGTGATCTTGTACAAAATGTATCTCCCACCTGATATGTAGTTGACACTAATGCTTATTAATCTGCGCATGTGTTTAGGGCAAATATTGGTTTTGTTCTAAAGAGAAAAGTACCACAAGGAGAGCAAGGGGGTTTCTGAAACAAATATGTAGCTTTTTGAAGTAATCAAAGAGGCAATGTAGGTACATGCACCACCCATTTTATGTAGTGCTCACAAGTACCTACCCCATCCTACCCACCTTGCTGCAAGCCTAATTAATTAATTGAAATTAATTAATTACACAAACATTAAAGTTTACACCTTATGGCCATAGTGCCATAGTGCCATAGTGCCATAGTGCCATAGTGCCATAGTGCCATAGTGCCATAGTGCCATAGTGCCTTATTGCCATAGGGCTTTAGCAATGTCAACCCCCAAACCATCCCAATAGTGCACTCTGCACTAAAAACTAGTGAGACAATCTCAGATAGTGCTGACTGCAATTGATAGCTCTGGCACAGTAGTCCCATAAGTACTCACCCCTGCTCAGCTCACTTCCGGTTTGGATCTACCTTCGTAGTCTGCTAGGGCTTTTCCCCTTAGCAGTGAGTACGTTTCAAGGTTGCATTTTCATTCAAGGTCAGAAAATTACGAACAATTACTGTTTGTCCTGACAGCTTTAAAATTTTACTCTGGTGTTTTACGATGATTTTCATTCATTTTAAATTCAATAATAAGTTAAACAAACATGACAATTTAGCTCTTCGCGCCAACTTTGTAACTTGATACTTTTGTTTTCCTCGCAAAGGTATGTAACATGAAACTCGTTTTCTCCAAAACACACAGAAGATGAGCTTGTTTTGGGGGATAAATGAAAGAAAGTTAAATATCTGACGAAGAAATGGAAGAGAAACAATTGTTTTTTCTCAAAACGCAAATTTTCTTATCACAGACGAACAAGAACTAATTTAATTATCAGATAGTGACAGAATACCACTTTCTTTTTCTGTTGCCACCATTGTTGTTAACAATAAAACAATTCAAAATTAGTAGACAACAATATCGAATGATACCACTGGGAAGCATTTCAATGAGAAGTATTGAAAGTAAACAGCGCTACTTGGCCGATATTATCCTGCATCGATGAACGAGTCTCCTCAAAGACTGATTAAATTGATTTGCACTTTCATTAGGTGCCACGGAGTCTGCAGCAATATTTGAGCACTTTCCTGGTTTCTTTTGTCACAAATTTACAATTTGCAGAATAT